GTCCCACTGACCTCCCCCTGGCAGGGTGGGCAGTCACTGCCCCCCACTCACCGGTCAAAGATGCGGAAGCAGTTGGCCAGCTCCTCCTCAGACTTGCCCTTGGCGTCCTCTTTCATCTGGCGCACCATCATCACCAGGAACTCCTCAAAATCGATGGTGCCGCTGCCTGCAGGGGGGAGGCCAAGCGTGGGTCAGGCTGCCTACCCAGCACCCCCTGCCCACCACCGAGGGCTCCTCACCATCTTCATCCACCTCCTCAATGATGGCGTCCAGCTCCTCCTTGGTGGGGTTCTGGCCCAGCATCCTCATCACCGTCCCCAGCTCCTTGGTGCTGATGTCTCCACCACCATCCGCATCAAACATGTCGAAGGCAGCCTTGAACTCTGCAGGGAAGGTGGGGTCAGGGCCAAGCAGCACATGGGACTGGGCCTGGGGAGGGCCCACCTCCCTCACGCTCACCTGCGATCATCTCCTCGCTGAGGAAGGCACGGGCTTCAGCCTGCTGGTCCGTCTGCAAGGCAAGGGAGAGCTGTCACTGCCAGCACCCACATCACCCCAGGAGCCCCTAGCATGGCACAGCACTGTGGGGACAGCCCCTGCCCAGGAGAATGATGCCATGTTGGGTTGAGCCACAGCACCCAGCAATCCCTGTGGCTCTGGGGCCACCCAGGCGCCTGCAAGGTGATGGGCTGGGGGAGCCATTGACAGGGGGGGCTCCATGGTGCAGGGACCATGGTCTCCATGTGCAGCCTTGGCATCCCAGGCACGCAGTGCTATTTTGGGGATCTCCTTGGATCCCCTTATAGGGAGCCGCGAAGCTGCAGCCAGCAGCACCTGTTGGCCCTGATCGAGTTTCTCCTGGAAAAAGAGGGCTCCATGGGCAGACTGTTGAGCCGGCGATGACACCGTGTCGTATGACCAAGTGCTCGGCTTTCAGCCACCCTCTGCCACTGCTGTGGCCCTGAGCTCCAGCCTGGGCTGATCCAGAGTCCCCGGGCAACCCTTGGGCAGCCATAGAGTCTCTCCCCAAGGCACATCCTGTGGGGACCCTGCATGGCTCTGACACCTCCCAGCCCTTGCCCACGGTGGTCAGACCAGCCCCAGGGACTGTTGCCCTGCTGCCCTCCATGGGGGCACCTCGGCAGCTCAGATCCCCCGGGGACACGCGGACCCCAGCACCTCCTGCCCGGGTGACTCTCACCAGGCACACAGCACATGGCACACAACACATGGCATGCACAGTGTAGCACATGGCTCACGGCAGCACAGGGGCTCTTACCATTGAAGCCATTCCT